ATATATATATATATATATATATATATATATATATATATTTTAGATAATTGGAAGTTAAACTAATTCAAATGCTGATTTTGTAAATAAATAAATATATATATATATATATATATATAGATAGATAGATAGTGTTAAGAGTTTATTTTTAATTGTCTGGAAAAAGAATAATTCATTTATTATTACTTACAATCAATATTTAATATAGCTGATACAAGGGCCCTCTGTTATTATACAAAATAGAGGGAAATGGTTATTGATACCCCTTTTATTATACAAAAAAATATTTTAACATATTAATTCGAGAAGTAAATTTGAACATTTTTTCTCAACTATCTTGACACGTGGAATCAATCCTGTAAATCCTAGAATGTAACTCTTAAGAATTTCAGTTATAATAAAGAACAAATACAAGAAGATTTGCTTTAGTAAAAAATATAATAGAAACGATTTTAAAGTATAATACAGTAAAATTATGATATTTTACATAGTAAACGAATATAGACATGAAACTTGAACTTCAATAAAATTTAGTTACAATCCGTTGGCAATTTAGTAGTAGTTAAATCATTTGAAGAATTCAACTTCCAGTAGAATTAGATATAAATAATACAGTTTCTTCCATATACTTTTTCGTTCATTTTTACTTTTTATCTATATTTTGCTTCTCGATCAGAGGTGAACCCACAACGGGTACACATGCACCGCTAAATTTCAGAAAAAAGTATATTTATTTTAAAAATTTGTTAGAAAGTAGGATATAATAAACAGTGTACTCATAAAAATTTCTTGTACAATCGATACGTGCTCGAGATATCACCATTGAGATTGGTGTTTGAATCCAACTAAGCCATTTTTTTTTAATTTTAAATCTTGAAGCTCATATTTATATTGATGCACCCGAAATCTTCACGTTTTAGTTCGCTTCAATATGCATATGCATGTGCATGAGAAAATTAAAAAGGGCATTTAAGGCAAAGAAGTCAACTAATGCAATGAAAAAAAGGGGAATTATTTGTAAAAAGTGAACTCAAGAATCGAACTTTTAGACATAATTTTCTAGGTAGATGAAGCTGTGCTACGTACGAATAAAAAGAGTGTAACTTTTTGTTATTTTTCAGCCCAAAAAATGATAAAAACATAAAGCATGGGTTGGGGAAGAAGCAAGCAAGGTATATACTCTTTTCTTTTACTGTTTTTATGTGCTAAATATATTCTAATCTTTTTATTTTATTTTATTTTTCTATAGTACCAACCCAAAGAACATTTGCACATGCGCCACTTTCTTCTTCTTCTTTTTAATAATTAAAGTTTTTCCCAAAGTAAATGTAAAGCCGCAAAGTTTTTCTATTAAACCTTTTTTATTAAATTTCATTTGATGTGGGATGACAGAGCTGTCAAAATTAGTCGTATAAATTTTACCCACCCACTCAAAGTTTGATGGATGTTGATTTTAATTACTTATGAATAATCTGATAAGAATGATAATTAACCAATTATATCACAAATTAAAATTTTGTTATATATATTTCTATGTAATAAAACCCTATGCACACATATAGTTAACTTATATCCATTGTAATTATACTAATTAAAGAATATTATGACAGGCTAATGTGATTATGTGAAGAATTATACAACTTAAAATCCTTATCACGTTAGAAAAAAGGTCACAAGATAAACATACCTACTACCTAGTAACATTCCTTTACTACAAGTGAAAAAAGTTCAAATTCTTGAGTAAGAAATATATAGATGTATTGAAAAATAAAATAGTTGAAACGTGATTTTCAAGGGTCAGATGAGTTGGATTGTAATTATATTGACACATGCAAAATTCAACATATTGGGTTTTTTCTCCTACGTGATATTTGGTATAGACATTGAAGTCTGACTAATTCAAATACTCTGGCTATAAAAAATCACTCTTTCATATTCGAGGCACGAAACTAAAATCAATTCTAGTTTTAAAAAAAAACAATTTCATCCAATGTATCATATTCTTTCGTGCAGGTTCATTATTGTTCTTATCATTCAACACATATTGTTTGATCACATTTGTGTTGACTTTGAAAAAAACATTTTATTAATTAAATCGTTCACCTAAATTTTACTTTAACGGGCTTCTTGTTGTTCTTGTACATTAGAAGGAAGTAAAGGATATTCCAATATAAATATCTATATATAAACCTACTTGTAGTACCTTTATTTACTTCACATGATTGAGGCCCCAACAAATATTTCTGCTCTCTTTATGATGAAAGATGATTTCCACATCGAAGGTGGATGAAGTGAATCAGACTTTTATATAATTTTGAATTTTTAAAAAAATCAAATTTAAAGTCCGTTTAACATGATGTCTGAATATGATTTTGAAAAATCAAATTTAATGTCCATTTAACATGATGTCAGAATATAATTTTGAATTTTAAAAAAGATCAAAGAGGCGATCATCATATTCGTTTTTGTCTAATATATTCTTACACATGCCATTTAATCCATTAACCCCCTGTTAAATTGACAAAAAAAATAATAGTTTAATTATTTGAACATTATTTTTATTTTTCTAACAAGTTACAACTATTTGTTGTCTTTTCATTAATTAATTTATCAAACGAACCGAAATACATGTTCGTCCACATCCCTTCAATGTTCAATTAACCATATTCCATTTTGATTAATTATTATTTAAAAAAAAAACAGTTATAGTAAAAAACTTAGGAACACATGCATGCATTTCTTGTATACCCTATATTCCTATTTCTTAGAGGATATCCTTATCGTTAATTATAGTAAGTTCCTAAAAGGAAAAAATAAATTTAGCTATACATGGTCAAAATCTCTTCTTTTAGGTCGTTTCTTCATACATTATCATTAATCAACTAGCTTTACGTACCATTGAGGCATAGTTATTATTGTTTTCGATCTGTCTTACAAAAAATCTTGAAAAATGGGGGGTGAAATTTCCAAGGTAAAAGGCAAGAACTATAGGATCCCCCCAAACTTCCTTCGTCGACGTTTACATGACAAGAAGAAAAGAAGGCGTTTTCGTAGGCCAACAAAACAATCTACACCTTCCAAGAAGGAATTACTTTCATATGCTATAGAAGATGATGAGAATCTAGAAGGAAGCCTTGGAAAAAGTGAGTATGTAATTAAGGATATTAAAAAAGTTGAAGCAAATGATGATCATCAAGAACGAGTGGCAAAACTGATAGAAGCAATTGTTCAAGAAAACGACGACGAAGAAGAAGATAAAGAAAGGGATTATGGAGATGATGATAATCATAAAGATGATCAAAGGACGATAAAGCGTAGTTATGATGATGAGGGGCCTGGTTCACCAAGTTTTAGAGTATATTTCACAAATAATAACAATGTTGTTGAAGACAAGAGGATTAATGAAGTAATTATTGGTATGTATTAATTTACTTTTCAAAAGATGTATAGAAACCATAAAAATGTCATTAGGACTCTAGCTGAAATTTTTGCATGTCCTTGTTTGTGCGTGAGAATGAATTGAATCTCCTTCATCATCGAAACATTATACTGACCCCCTTAATATAAAGAAAAATTGCAATATAATGCCAAAGAGGATTCAATATAGATGTTAGTTATAGTAAGGTGTGACATTTAATCGCTTGGTATATAATCCTGGCTTCGCCACTGCCAATGTTCAGCCAACTCTAACTTATTTCCTACTATTTAATGAGTAAATGCAGGTAACAAGGATGTCATTAAGAACACAACTCCAATAGCAGCTACTAGTAGACCAACAATCCCTATTGCTGCTACCATACCATCAACAGAGGTATATATATATGCATGAGATTCTTTAATTTCTATCAAAGATATTACCTTCCTTGGTATAAATGGCTGTTTTTAAAAAATGTATGCATACTAGAGAAACAGAGATGTAGCACTTGTTAACTGGAAGCTGTAGGATTATCCAATCTATTCAGAATTAAAGCCCGACCCGCTGTGCAATGCATTAGATTGAATACACTATTCTGAATATGAAGCAAAACCTATGTTGCTTGGGGCTTTCCAAAAAATTTGTTGTGCCCATGTGGGATCCAAACATGCACTAATTTTGGGGTATCCAACATGGTGCTATATTTTTGAAGAGTCCGAGCAAACATAGGTCAAAACTACTAAGCATTAACTATGAACTTATAATACTAAAGTATAACTACTTCAATACTAATGCCATTTAGCTAGAAAATGCAGAAAAATATTCTATGATCAAAGTTTCAAATATTTGGTTGATGTGAGTTTGTACATAGTCAATCTTATCTAGCTTGGATTGTGGCAGAATAGTTGTTACATGTATGTGCCATTATCATAAACAAATCTGCAGTCATTTGTTTACTTTTGAGCTTTTTAACAGCAAAGATTTAACTCTCTTCGCATTTTTCTTTGAGGGAAATAAACAAAAACATAACAGGAATGTAACAAAAACAGATTTTGCTAAACATCAGAATAGCATACATATATATATAAAACCAAAAGAATAAATAAGAGTGCTAAACTTACATTTTCATACAGGTGGTGCCTGTGGGCAGAAAGGTGAAGAAAGAAACGAAGAGGAAGAATTTTAAAAGTGCACTGTCAAAGAATATGCTGAACGTTCGATCATGTTACTCTACAGCTCACTCCAGGCACAAGCGCAACCATATTCTTCCTGGAAAAGCACCTGCTTGATCAAGCACCACACATTTACTTGATCGTCTTTTAGGGAAATTAAACTCATCACCCTTTGTCTGCTATGTTTAGTGGACGTAAACTATAGTTTAGCAAATCAAATAGCAGGTCCGCTGTAATGAAAAACTCAGAAATCAATATTATGAAATTGTGGACCTAAGAGATTGTATATACCTCTTAAATCCAGAATGTCATCTTCTTTTTCTTTGTTCTGGTCAACTCATATTTGAACCATTTCACACAATGATATCTGACATAGGAGTACACATAAAATTGAAATGTGAGAGTAAAAGAGTAGCAAAACCAAAAGGTAAGGCATTGGAAGACTAGAGCGGATGCAATGTCATATTCTTTTTCCCTGCTGAGAAATAGAATTTGGATAGATTACCAGGAAAGGAGGCAAATAACAAACAGAACTAATTAACAGCAGATTACAATCTCAAATCTGATTAACAACTTCTTTTCTACCAGATTTCCAGAAAGTTTCTTCATGGGTGAGGAAGCCAAAAAGGATTGACAAATAGCTCTTTTATACGCGCATGAGAGCTTGCACACACTACAGTACGGTAGATAAACATATGAACAAAAGAGAACAACTTTAATTACTTTAGAACTGAAAAAGAAAGCAGATGAACAATCTTAAAGACACGGAACAGAGGAATAAGCTTTTCAGCAATTGTATCTCTCCAAGTGCAATTTTAGTAAATTACACAGAGAAATCTAGAGCAACAAAATACAAAACAAAAGGGCATTGACGACTAGCAGGATTTATAACAAAAGATCAATCTTCGTTCAACAGACTTCTGGCCAGACCAGAAAACACCAGAGATCACATTTGGCATCTACAGAGGGCCTCAGTCAATCAAAAAGTTCCTCCAAACCATTTAAAACCATGTCTTCCCTCCTGCCCAAAATATTTTAGGATAGTCAATACTCAGATTTTGTATTTCAACCAGAGAGAAGATTAAGTAGATGATCCTGTTTTAAGATAAAAATCTTACAAGATATAAGGGGTATATAGTGGGGATAGGAGATTTTAACACAAATACCTATTCAGAAGGGAAGGCAGAGGAGAGAAATTCTTCATCCTCCAAAAATATCTGCAGATTCTTTGTTTTCATCAAGAACTCAACAGCTGCCTCATCAAATTCCAGGATGAACCCAAACTTGATCAATTCAGCCAGCTGAGGCACAAAATCTTCTTTCTCCTTAAGAATTCCCTCAGCAACTACTTCAGAGAAATATGTTGCATACTCAAGTTTGCCTTTGTAACCACCTGATTTGTCCAGCTTTTGTAGGAAGATTTTTGAACTTTTTCTTTCCCAACAAATCATTCGGCTCACTTCCACATTCAGGACTTCTCCAGAAGAAAGTGACAAACTGCAATCCATGGTGATTGGTTCTAATGTAGCAAAAATGCTAACATCCATGAGGCATTTGAGAGCTACATGTCTCTTGTGCACTTCCATTTGAAGTAAAGGATCAGCAAGGAAGCCAAGAATTAACTTAAACAAACCCCTCCCAATGAAGATTTCTTTTGGCTGCACCAGCTCAAGTCCATCACAATTAACAGAAGACAGGCTTTTCTTCAGAACAGATTCAGACAAATTGCGAACACCAATTTTGCTGTAAATTTCAAGTAGCTCCTGTCGAGGCAAAGATTGCAAGCTTGGTTGTGGGTACCAAACGAACAAGTGATGAGAAGAAGACTTTTCAAATAAATCCTTCAGATAGAGATCATCACCAATAAAAACATCACGTTTGTCGAGCATCAAAATTTCCTTTTTCAAGCCTGAACTTGCAGGAAGTTTTGACAAGTTTTCAGACAGAAAGTTCTCAGTTCGTGAGCTCCAGTGCTTCACAATGAACTCCCAGAAAGTTTGGCACTCTGATTGTGACAAACTGCGGCCAGCATTTTCCCATGAATTCCATAGCTTGAGAAAATCATCAAGAGAAGGATTGCTTTTGACACCTAATTTGGAGAAGAAACTGAGCAGTTCCTTATCATAGTGCTTCTCTAGGACATGCAACTGCAGGCCAAAGAAACCACTTTTGTCATGCAGAACACAATCGTCAGAATTCACCCAATCTCCATCGTTGTCACCATTTGGAATCCATATTTTTCTAGCATCTTCTTTTGCTGGTTCCCAGTTGAACTTGCTCAAGTACTTATAGATCCGAGTGATAGTAATCCTGCTAGAATGTGAATCAAGATAATCAGCAAGCAAAGAGCATCCATCTCCAATTTCAACCACAACACCAAGAGACTTGAGCTCTTTCTTATATGATCCTATGTTGGAGCCATAAAAGTTTTCATCGATGAAAGGACCATCTTCAGGCAGTAAGATAGGATTCCACTTAGGACCAAACAAACAACACTTATCTGGTGACCTGTAACCAGCATTAGTCTTCATCCATTTTCTAGCAAGCTTTGACCGCAAAGCAATCAGATAATCATTATGATTCATCTCCAATTTCTTCAAGCACTCTAACAATGAGATTGCCACTGGAACAGTAATGACACTAGGGTCACTAGGAAATCGTAGGCTTGCAGGCACAAACTTTGCCCCACTTTCAAAAGTCACCGCAACTCCCAAACTCTTAAGTTCATCCTTATACTCATGAATGTTCCTTCCATACCGAGCCTCACTATCATCAATAAAAGGCAACAAAGAGATTGAAGAGAGAGCTTCCCAAGCTGAATCAAAAAGTATGCATTCTTTAGGTAATTTATCACCAATTCGAGTTCGCAGCCACTCAACCTCTTGAATGCATCTCTTAAGATCTGAAGGAAATTTAAAGTTAGTTTTCTTCAACTTTCTGTAACATGAGAGAAGGGAATGAGCACTATCTTTGTTTAATGAACCCTTAGATGTCTGCTGCCTGAACACAGCAACAAAAGCTTTAGTTGCCTCCTCAAAATCAACCACCACCCCTAATTTCTTCAACTCGCTTTTAAATGACAAGATATTGCTTCCATAGAAATTTGTATCAATGAGAGGAAAACTGGAAAACACCTGCAGCAGGCAGCCCCACTCAGGATCAAGCAAAAAACATTCTGCCGGAGATTTCCACCCCATGTTTATGGTCTTCATACATTTGTTATCCTTAAGTGCCATGCATATTTTTTTAGATGATCCCAGGTTGCAAATACACTTCAGAATCAGGAGCAAAGCATCAGAACGCAGGCAACCTAAGCGTGTTGGAGATTTCAAGTTGTCAACAACAAGCTGGTAATTTTGATTAAAACCAAACACCACTCCAAGCAGCTTCAGTTCTGTTTTAAAGGAATGAATCTCATTCCCATAATGCCTATTATCAATAAATGGAATGTCACTGATCAGTGAGGCAGCATTCCACTCACTGTCCAAGAAAACAGACTCCTGTGGGCTCTTCTCACCTTGAGTAGTCTGCAACCACCGCTTATCATTAATGCTATTGATGAAGGTGTCAGGGGAAAGAAATTTCTCCCTCAGATACTTGATGAAATTGAGTATTGACATCACGTGGACTTTGGTTAAAGTAGAATAAGTTGCCAGAGACATAAAATGCTCTCCAATGTATTCACATGCCTCTTTAAATTCAAACATGACACCTGTTGTACTTAACTCCTCCTTGTACTGTATTATTTCACTGCCATAAAACCCCTGATCCACTAATGGAATATCTACAAGAACTGATCTACTTTGCAGCAGATGTCCCCATGATGAAGTATGGAAGAATGATTTTGATGGAGGCCTGTAGCCTGGGCTACCACTTAGTGATACCTTCAGCCAGCTTCCCTCCCTTATGCAGGTCAAGAACTTTTTAGGAAAGGAAAGCCTGTTCCTTTTCATCTTACGAATCCAATCTAACATTAGCAATGCATTTTCCTTGGTCAGTGGAGAATACATACTAGAAATTTCTGCATCAGGAGGGGGTAGGTCTGGAATGTCCATAGCTGCAACATTGTTCCTGAGAAAGGCCAGAAGCTCTTCCTTGCTGCTACAAACTCCAGCATAGCTACCAGAATGCAAGTAACCTTCTCCGAGCACAACATAGCCTGAAGCTTTCCAAGGGTTTGAACCAATCAACCGCACCCATTTACTTCCATTTGCAGGCACCACTACCCCTTTCCACTGTCGGGTGACATGTCCATAGTTATCAACGAGCGGCAAAAAACGGCATAAAGCAGCAACTTGATCTTTTGATAAATAGTTCCTTTTGAGGGACTGATGTAAGAAGTGGGCAAAAGCCATAGCAATGTTTCTATCATCATTGTTTGTGTTAAGAAGCAGAACAGCAAAGTCATGCACATTCACAGATCTCACCTTGACCTCATCTTTAAGCCAATCCAAAACTGTCCCACTTTTAGAATGATCCCTGACTGCTTCTTGTGTTGATTTGGCAAAGAAAAGATGATTGGCAAAACGAAATTCTGAGTTCCAGTTGATCAGCCAAGAGATGTGACCAGATTCACGAGATAAAAATAACGAATGATCACCGTTCAGTGCCTCATATATGCTACACAAAACTACATCATCATCAAAATCAACATATTTCAGAAGTTGTATGTTCATCATGTCAGTTGTCTTGAAAGAAGACCATTTCTCAGCAACAAATGCTAAAAGTTCTAAGTAAACATCCTCTGAGACTCCCAAAACAAAATTGGAACTCTGAATGCACTTTGCATACCATCCATTCTCAACATGTTTCACTTCCAGAAAGCTCAAAATGTGGTTGTACACCCCCTTATCAAAATCTGAGTTTACGATGAATATTCCATGGGATGAGATGTTATGCAAGACAACCCCCTGCTTCCTTGCCTTGTTAAGAAGATTCCAGAAAGCAGGAAACAACCTACCAACGTCATTGGGCTTCTGAAAGAATTGTTGTTCCACGTATGACTCACATGGAATGATACTTTCATCCAGCAGTTTTCTTTTAATGGAGTCTCTCACGCCATTAAGAATTGGATAAGGAGATTCATTCACTGGCAGAAAGCCAAACATATGAGTAAGAGTGGAAACTGGAGCACCTTCACTAGATCTCACAAGTGATGTGAAAGCATTGACAAAAGCAGAAGGAACACAGTCAAGAATGCCCTGGTTCCATATGTCATCCAGAAGGATCGTCTCCCTTGATGATGCTAGAAGAAAGTCTGCTTGAATTATGAAGGGGAAGTTTGTAACCATCTCCGTCGGAAGAAAAGCATAAATCCCAGGAGA